AGAGCGTCGGTGTTGTCTGGTTGGGGTGGACCGATTCCAGTAAGGCGGAAGGATGGGGGGCCGCCAGGTCGGAGTGCGAGAGCCTGCATCAGTGCCGGCCACTGCATCCCCTGTTTCATGCTGAAGTCGATGACATGAACACGCCGACAGCCGGCGAAGGCTTCGAGGATGGCTTGATTGGCGGTGAAGTGGGCGAACTTGAGGTAGGGACAGCTTTCGTAGAAGTGCATCTGAAGGATATCGGAGAAAGCGGAATCCAGAGAGCAGTCCTGCTGTGGGTGAAGACGATAAATTTTGCGGGCGAGAGCTTCGGCGAAGTAGCCGGCAACCTTACGCATCGCACCGCCCTGAGAAGAGGCGAGCACTGAGATCTGCCTAACGAGCACGTCGGCCACTTTGTAATTCTCCTGGTAAACCGCCTCAGCACAGGCCATAAGCGCATGGACTAGACGGATCCCCACCTCCTGTGTGTCCACCATGACCACGGGCACCGCAGAAGATACCTCGGTACCGGATGCAGGGGGCAGCAAAGACCCAATCGTTGGAGAAGTTTGCACGATCACACCACCGCCAGATCCTCCTCTGGAAGATGAAGAAGACGACGAAGTTTTCATCCGCTTGCGATCTCGAGCTCCACTCTCCATCTGGGGCTCCGATCCGTACACGACGTGCCTCCAACGCTGCTCTGCCTAGCGGTGAAGTCAGGGTGGACAACGGGACCCGACGGGGCAGGAAAATCTACGGAGGTTACGGTTGAGGACTCCGTGGTGGTGAGTGCATCTGCAGGGTCGAAGAAGGCCGTCGAGGAGTGAGCAGACGCCGGCGCTTGCGGCAGGGTGTAGGCACCAGAATTAAGGACGCTCCACGGGGCGCGCGGGTTTGTAGCCGCTAAAATTAGGATGCATCGCCGGCGGAAGCGGTAGAGGCGGCGCGCTGAGCTCCGAGAGCATGCTTTCCAGCCAGTTCGACAGATCGGAAGGGTTATAGTGCACAGTATCAGAAGCAAGGTGAGTAAGCAGCGCATCTTCCTGCGCCGCGCTGCCTCCTATCGCCATATCCAGCTGCTCCAGCTTCTGCGCCACGTCCGCCATATCAGAGGACCTCACCTTGTACCCAAGCTCAGCAAGAAACTCATCCATGCCACCATCCACCTCCTCCTCCAACCCCATCAAGCTCCCTCTCCCGATCGCCACCATACCAGGCGGCGCCGGAGCATACCCACCAACACTCCTCCCTCCAACGCTCTCCATGAACTCCCTCTTCATAGCAGGTGCCATTTTGGGGAAACGGGTCGATATTTGAGTGGAGCGGAAGGTTTCCCCGATTTCAGCTTCCGCGAAGCGCAGATGTGACTCTCGTAAGGGCTCGATCTTCAAAAACAAGCACCCAAAATAGCCACCGAGGGATGGAACAAAAGATCAAAGAAAGGATCGGAAAGGTAAAAACCCTAGACTACGCACCGAGAGCTAATCAGAAAGAAAGGACGAGGGAAGAAAAAGGGAGTAGAAGGATGAGCTTCGGCATCAATAAATGGGCAGCGTTTCTCAACCCCATCATATTTTTATATTATACATACAATCTATATAGAAGATAATAAATAAAAAAATTCAAAGGTGGGTCTGTGAGCAAATAGAGGCCTTGCCACTGCCTATAATATTTCTTTATCTTCTCCCTTCATTCTTACCCAAACTCACTCATTAATTCATTTATAGTATCTCAATAATGCAAATTTAATGATTCTAAGTACTAACTAATGTTTCGATAAGGGGAACTCGACGGGCATAAAATCATTTACTTCTAAGATTAGTAAGTAACTCGATTGATGGATGAATGATCGATAGTTGAAGAAATTAATATGGGTCCGTCTCATGAAATGCTGACATGTTGGCAAAATTTTCAAAAGTTTATATTTAATGTTGTCAATAAATCTCTCATTCTTATATGAGAGGGTAGATAAAGTTGAGAGATGGGAACTATTTTTAAACGTAAAGAAAAGAGGAAAATGGGAGCTAAATTTGAACTCGCAAGGATAACTTTAAGCAAATGAATACAAGTGATCATTGATCAACATAAGCAAATTTTGTGGACAACTGTTATTATTTGTATATAGTTGTTTGATTAATATGCCTAAATTGTTATTACAATTCTAATACTTTGAAGCTGTTGTTATCTAACTAATGGTATTGTTATTCAACAACTCTTCTACAATAATAATAGAGGGATAAACAAGTTTTGCACCATCGTCTTTTCTAGTTTAAGAGAAGAGTGAAACTCTAAACTATAATTGTATAGTGAACTATTTTAAGGAAGCTGAACCACTTAATTTCACCTTTTAGTTTTCACATAAAATCTAAATCTCACTTATCACTTCTTTCTATATGTGAGTTGAATATTTACATTAAGATTATACTTAATTTTTCTCTATTATTGAAGGTTACATATCACATAAGAATTTAGAATCATTTATGAGAAGTTGTTTCACATTGACAAGCTCCATATGCATTTCTTCAATTGCCAACTTATGTAATACTTATAATAATAGAGCCTCTGGCTCCAACAACTATCATTCTATAGAATAATATCTAAATTAGAAACATCAAATTATGATTTTTCCTTGTGCTATATGTGTTACTCTTGCTTGTAAACTTGCAACAAGTTTGTCCTTCAAAGATTGGGTTTGCAAGATGGCGAAATCTCAAAATAAAATCATTTGAACTCTACGGAATGGCTCGATGGTTACCATCGACATAATTACTAAGGGTTGACCTTCCTAAGATCAACCACTAATTAGGATGGTTCAACTTGCATACGTCCATCCAAATCCTCCTTACCCTTCCTCCATCAAGATAATACATTAACCGACGATTAATTGACGAACCATAACCATCACTATAAATTTAAAAATACGCTATATTTAATCATAGCTTGATCATCAGTTATATAACTGACGTAAATGTTGCATTTTCGTCAAAAAAGTGTCGCGATTCTGTTGATAAACCGTCGCCCGATCGGTTAACCATGGGAATTTACAGACTACTCTATCCATAGCAAAAGAGCAGCACTTTATCCAGACTTCGCTTGTTCAATAGACCGTCGGAAAATTTTTGCTTGTTCGATAAACCCTCGTAAAACTGTCAATAAGTCATCAAAAACTTGTACATAATATATATGTTCCAAATTGTATCTCTGATGGAATGGATGGCCAGTGTAGGGGGGATTAAATCTGAAAATAATATGTAATTAGTTCTCTAGTAAATAAAAAAGACACAAGGAAGTAATGTGAGCAAAAATTAAAACTTATGTGCTCTCCACTGCCCTGAGCTGATAATGACTGCTCGTGCTGCTCGAACTCAACGACACATCAATAGTAGCCGGTGCTGAAGGTGCTAGTAGTGTCGTGGTCACGGCCGGTGGTTGTGGTGGTGTCGTTGCCACAAGTGTTGGCAGTAGTGGTCTAATGGTTGGTGGCGGTGGCGGTGGCGGTGTCATGGCTAGTGGTGGTAGTGGTGTGGGGTCGTGATTGGTGGAGGAAGTGGTGTGGTAGTAGGGACTCGAGGCGGTGCCGATGTGGTGCTTTTAATACCACCACGTGCACGGCCTCATCGACTTACAGACTTCCATAAGCCAACATGTCCCTTGATGGGGGGCATACATTCCCTTCCTCTAGAAGTCGTTTACAAGCAGAAAAAGTAAATTTAATTAGTACATTTATGTATTATTAAATTTGAAAGTGCAATAATATGCAATAAAAAAAAAGTAACACTAAATTGCATGCGTACAATTTACAAACTTGAAATTGAAAAAAATAAAAGAACGCAGTAAACAGAAGAGAAAGTTATAAAGTGCAATTTACAAACTATTGAAAGTGAAAATACAAAATCTTAAAGTGGTTAAATCCTGAAAACTGTTTGGTATGTTAATAAGTAAATCCAGAGAAAATGTTGAGTGTCATATTTTCATTTAATTCTAATAAATTAAGATCATTTTTTTACAATCTTCCCAAGTCTTTGTATGTGGTCTACCTTTGCCTTTCTTGACATAAATCGAATCTAAAACATCTACTCTCTTAGCGGGATCATCAGATAGTCGACGTTTAATGTGACCAAAACAACTAGGACGAGTCTCTCATTTTTGTCCGCCACAGGGGCTACATTAATATATTCACAGATATATTCATTTCACATTTTATCTTTAAGTGTAAAGTCACTCATCTAGCTGAGCATTCTAATCATAACAACACTTAACTTAATTTTATGCTTCTTTTTTAAAGACCAACATTTTGTGCCATAGAGCCATGCAGTTCTCACCACCAACAAGTACAAGCGTTTAACCCACTAAGTGGGTTTGGCTACATGAATCCTTTTTCTCCATTCTGTTTTATTGAGTGTCATATTTTCATTTAATTCTAATAAAGTAAGATCATTTTATACAATATACCCAAGTCTTTGTAGGTGGTCTACCTCTACATTTCTTAACATAAATCAAATCTAAAACATCTACGCTCTTATCCAGATAATCAGATGGTTGGCGTTTAATGTGACCAAACCATCTAAGATGACTCTCTTTAATTTTATCTACAACAGGAGCTACATTACCCCTTTCACATATATATTCATTTCACATTTTCGTAGTAGTGTAAAGCCACTCATCCACCAGAGCATTCTCACCTCTGCAATACTTAACATAATTTTATGCTTCTCTTTTAGAAGCTAACATTCTATGCCATAGAGCATTACAAGTCTCACCACCAACTAAAACAGGCCTTTAACCTACTAAGTGGGCTACATGAATCCTTTTCCTTTACTGTGTCCTATTGAGTGTCATATTTTCATTTAATTCTCATAAATTAAGATCATTCTTTATACAATATGCCCAAGTATTTATAGGTGGTCAATTTTTGACTTTTTTCACATAAATCAAATCTAAAACATCTACTCTCCTAATCAGATCATTAGATGGTCGACATTTAATGTGACCGAACCATCTAGGACAACTCTCTCTAATTTTGTCCACCACATGAGCTACACTAATCCTTTCTTGGATGTATTTATTTCACATTTTATCTCTAAGTGTGAAGCATCTCATTCATTTGAGCATTCTCATTGCGGCAAAATTTAACCTAATGTTATGCTTTTTTTTAAATGTCAGCATTATGTGTCATAGAACATTGCATGTTTAATCACCAACTACAACAAGACTTTATTCCACTAAGTGGGGTCGATTGCATGAATCTTTTTCCATTGCGTCCTATTGGTTCTCATGTTTTCATTTAATTCTAATGAATTAAGTTCATTTTTTGTACAATATACCCAAGTCATTATAAGTGTTCTACCTCTGCCTTTCTTAACATAAATCGAATTTAAAATATCTACTCTCCTTATCTACTCTCCTAACTGGATCATAACTGGATCATCAGATAGTCGACGTTTAATGTGACAAAACCAGCTAGGATGACTCTATCTAATTTTGTCCCTCACAGGAGCTCCACTAACCCCTTCATAGATATATTCATTTCAAATTTTATCTCCAGTGTAAAGCCACACATCCACCCAAACATTCTAATCGCAGTAAAACTTAATTTAATTTTATGCTTCTCTTTTAAAGGCCAACATTCTGTGCTATAGAGTACTGCATGTCTCACTGACCAAAAGAAAATATGTTGAAATTTTCATACCTATTTTACACTATTTTTTATGATATTGCACTTTAAAGAAGGGTTATGATGATGTTTTGTTGCAGGTATGATTAATTATGGTCATTGAAACAAAAAAATGCAAAAACGGTGCAATTTGGAGCAAAAACAAGCAAGAAACAAAAAAACATTGGAGCAAAAAGATGCAAAAACGATGCAATTTGGAGCAAAAACGAGCAAGAAATGAAATTTTGCCCTTCTGTCACCTGATAAGTATTTCGATGATTAATCTCTTTTACACTTCTTGCATATTTTTGATTGAGATTACACTTTAAAGGAAGGTTTTTTTCATGCTTCTTTTTTCATGCCATGCTTCTTTTGTAGGGCTATCAGTTAGGAATACAATGCAACTGAAATGGGGTGAAATAGAGCTAAAACGGAGCCAAACAGGGCGAAGCAGTGGAGCTACGCAGTTTGCTCGCCGACGGCGCCAAACGGCGCTGACGGAGAGATTTACCCAAGAAGACCAAAAAATGACTGGAAAAAGCTGGCCGACGGCGCCCGGGACGACTTTGGACCGACTTTTGGCGGTTATAGGCCGAAATTCAACGTATTTAGACCCTTTTTGAAAGGGTTCTTGTGGCAACTCTTCATACTTCATCCTTACACTTTGAAAGAACGAATTTAGGTTAGAAAAAGAGGGTTATGTGTAAGAGGAATGTTAGGAAAGGTTTGGAGAAAGTTTAGGGTTTTTAGAATAGGAGTAAAAATGTAGATTTCTACCCTTTTGGAGAGATTGGAGAGGAGATTTTGAGAGAATTTGTAAGGAGATGTTCTAACATTGCATGGATCGGTGGGAGACTTTGTGGGAGAGATTTTCTTCTTTCTTTCAA